AATTACTGAACTGTTTCGTCTCTTTATAAAATAAAAATAAAAAATCAATTTACAATGAATAGATTGAACTTGTTATAAATTTTTAATAAATGAACATGGAAATATTCGATTAAGGTTAAAATATTCGTAAATATTGAGACTTGACTTTTCATTTATAGGAATAATGTTCAATATTAATTTTGAGTGTTCAGTTGTAATATTCTTCTGCGCAGACATACCCACGCACCAGTGAGTAATTGAAGCTTTTAGAGTATGTGCTGCATTATAAATAATATTTATACTCCTTTAATAAGAGTTGTGATAAAATGTTTCATTCATAAAAGCATTTTATACTTTTCGCTATAACACACCACAGCTTCTGTTTAAGCGTCAGTGCACAAAAGTCGATTGCAGGAAGTTAGCGAAACAGTTTCTTCTAAAGTGGGATTTAACAAACTTCTTAACGAGGCCCTGGCCCACTGGTTAATAAGAATAAGGCGCAGGATGCGGCGTCGATGATAGACTGTTCTCTTCCAGTCCTTATCGGATCTTCCAAACAGACTTTTAGATTAGCTCAAACCGGCCGTAATACGTGGGTCCTGCGTAAAGACTTTTTAATGTATTTGGCATTAAAGAACTTTGATAAAACTCCCGAAACGAGTTTAGAAGAAGTTTCTCTTCATCATCTCGTCTTTTCTCAAACTGCCGCTGATGCTTCCTTCTTATCATTCGATCTGGACTACTGATCTGTGTTTTCAGTTTTTCACTCGCTTATATTAGTCGAATTACAAATATTTCTCTGCTTTTTTAAGAATGAACTATTTTAAAAATATATTTAGTTATTTGTGGCAAATGTTACTTTCGTGTATGTTAAAATAAAGTATTAATTTAAGCTTGTTGCTTTTTTCTGCAAAAGACCTCTGCAATAACATCTTAAAACTATATCACCCAGGTGCAGAGAAGTGTCTCTCGTTATTTGCAGTCACGTGTGTACTCTCCGACCCCAGCTTCTCGAAAACTATAAACATTCAAACCAGAACACTCTAACCCACGATCTGTATACATATATAAAATGTCCAGGTGCAGGCTGCAGAAATTACGTCTCACAAGTCAGACACATCCTCCACTTTTTTTATCGCATTCATCATTCCATGTCATGTACTTGAAATTTTCTTTACATTTTCATCATTATATTACAACGACCAATATGTGTTCTTCTATAATGAATATATATTTTGCTAAGAAATAAAATATAAAATTCAGGCTTTGTACTTGATAATTAATTTTAAAAAAGTAATAAATAGTAGCTTAAAGACATAGAAAAAAGTAGTAAAAAAGTAGTTATCGAAAAATTAAACATGACTCAATTTTTTGTGCTTTCAAAATTCAATCATTTTTTTGTTGAAAATCATAAATAAATTTATTCAAAACTTTAATCAATTTAGAAAGTTCTACGAGAAGTCAATTAATTAAATACAAAAGTAAATTTATTAAATAATTGCGAATATTTTTTAAATTTGAATTCTTATAAAGAAAACTTATCAACATTTTTTAAAATAATTGAATTCTTTCTAAAAATTTTATTAACATTTTTAAGAATAGTTGCATTTTTCGCTGAATTCATTAAAAATTTTATTAAAAATAATCGAAATCCTGCAATGAATTTCAATATTTATAAAAATAATTGAATTCTCTTGCGAAGAATTTTATAAAAATCCATTTAAATAATTGATTTTTTTTTTCGAAAAATATTATGAAAATTCTGTTTTAAATAATTGAATTCCTGTGAAAATTTTTTTATTTATGAAAATAATTGAATGTTTGCGAAGAATTTTTATAAACATGTAAAATATATTAAAAATCATTGAATTACGAAAACTTGTGAAAATAAGTAAATCGTTTTAAAGAATTTTATTAAATTTGTAAAATTATTTTGTGAACTTTTTTTAATAACTTTATTAAAATTTTTTAAAATAATTTTTTTCAACTGTTAACAAATTTAAAGTAGTGTAAATTCTCAAACATGGAAAAAGGAGCTTTTAGTGTAACAAATAAAAGAAAAGTATCAAAAAAGTAGGAAATCGTAAAAAAGTAGTAAATACATATAGTAGGTTTTATAGTAGATGAGAGCGAGGCCTGAAAATTTATCAACAAATTATGTACATTTAAAAATTTAAAGTTACCTTAAAAATATTTTTATTCTGTCGCTATAAATTTAGATTGTTACTTATTTGTTTTTCTTTTTAATAAACGCACAACGAACGTTAATTTAATAACGCAAGTTCAAAAGTCAAGCTTCGTTTGTCATGCCACGTGGGCAATTATAAAGTTATCGACTGGCAGAATAATATGCAGTTAAATTATATTGAAATGATTACATAAAAGGGAATTTAATTTTTTATACTGATTTTTTTAGTACTTTGATTTTTATTTGAATAATTTTGTGTAAAAAATGTAGTTTCTATTTTTAGTTACTATTTTATCTCTCCTACCTTTCTTTCAAATTTTTCCACCCTTTTCACTTTTTTTCTTCTTCTTCTTTTTCACTGAATTTTGAACAATGAATAATTTGAAATTTTATAATTAACTTGGCTTTTTGATCTTTCAAGCTTAAAAGTTATAAGTCAGTGGTTTTGTAAAGTACGACCAAAATGTTCTGCATGGGCTGTCACACATATTGGATATTACTTCACTCCACCCCATTCAAAAGAGTTTTATCTCCTTGATACCATAATGGCTCGTGCCAGTCGGTTTGTTTTAACACTCGACCGTTCGTTGACGTTCAACATACATACTTTGCTCAGTTGCTCAGCTTTTTACCTCTGTTTTCCTCGCGCTTCAGTACTTTTTTTCGGCTTCTGGTTTTGAAACTGGGAGACGGCAGGAGACGGGAACGCGAGTGCCGAGAAAAAAAAGTTGATTTTTTTTTCGTATCCCAAGTGTGCGTTTTTACTTATGGTTTTTGGAAGTCGACTTTGAAAAATTGAGGAGTGCTACAAACGACGTGCAAGAAACATAAAGATGACAACTGGGTTTCTACAAACTAATTACATTTTACACGCATGTTTTAAGAAAATAAATGTTGATTCATATGTGTTCTCGGGAGGAATAAAATTGAAAATTGTATATAATGGATAATGAAAGATATCTTACCTTTCTTTTTGTAGTATTTTCCCCAGGAAATAAAAAATGTTGACTTTTCTCATGGTGCTTTTGACATAATGGAGATTAAATCGATTTCGTCCAAACTTGAGGGATAATTTTTTACCATTGAGGTAAAGAATAGAAATGTCATTTTCCTTTATTTGAGCTTTTTTATTCCAATGCCTTAGGTTTTGTCTTTTTTGTAAAAAATTGTCAAAATACTTTGACAAAATAATCTTTCGCATTGTTAAAAATGTTTAAAATTCACTTTTCTTTAAATCGCTTGAACTTTTTTAAATCACTTGTATTTTTTAACTTTATAGGAATATTCTATATACACTGAAAAAGTAATCGTAAGAAATATGTTTACGTTTACATTGACTATTGTTCACTATTGTTACTTGTTATTGATTGTTATCGTTATACAACTGTTTTTCCATCAGTGTAATAAAAATTGAGGTTAGGATTTTTGCCATTGTGATCACACACTTCACAGTGCTGGCAACACGCTAGCAACTAGTACATGTTACACATGCTTTTGTTTTGTCAGATTCAAGGTGATTGCATATAAGTTTACTTTTAATCAGTAAATTTAAGGTTAATTATCATAAACTTATGTGCAAAATGTAAATTTACTTTGAATCAAAACAAATGCATTTGCAACTTATTGTAGAAACACCTTTTCAGTTAAGGCCAACGCAGAATAGATCTGTAAACGGAACCGCAATCGTAACCGTAAGCGTAAGCGTAAGAATGAGTTAGAGAAGGATAAACAATATACCTATCCTTCTTTAACTCATTCTTACGGTTACGCTTACGATTGCGGTTCCGGTTACAGATCTATTCTGCGTTGGCCTTTAGGCGTAGCAACAGAGGTGCAAATGCACCCTTATTGTTGCTTATTGTCTTTCGCGGGTTTCGCCGGTTTCGCGTCACGAGAACGTCATGTGTCGGATGTACGATTTATTCAGTTTACAAGCGAATTCTCCAAATAAAGTGTGTTGTATTTCGTCAATTTTGTTGAAAACGAATATAGTATTTACCGGAAATGCAACGTAAAATGTGCTTTGTAAAATTATTTCTCGAAAGTTTATCGTTCGGCGCAGTGTTGCGAAACCTAACCTCACTTTTTCGCTATTTTCCCTATTATGAAGACGAAGGACCTTGATGGTAAAGAATAACATACCACCTATAGAATATCGCAGAGATCGCAGAAATAACCAGTTTTTATAAAACGGAATAAAATATGTAATATAAAACTGACTTTTATGCACTTATTCTATGACAAAGTCTGTTTTAAATAATACGTACGTATTTTGATTATAAAGTGTACAACTCCATTGTTGAAAGTAGAGAATTATCACGAATAGTAAACTTTCTTTTCTTTAAAAATGATACAAAGCACAACCCAGGGAAGAGAGATCAGCTATAGAGAGAGAGAGAGAGAAAAAAATATTCACTGCAGCAGTGAAGTCTTTGGTACAAGAAGTCAGAAAAGGCCGGAAGTCGAACTGAGGAAAAGATAAAAAGAACAGGAAGATAAAGACAAAGATATAAAGAAAATTGAGGAAGTAGAGAGGAGCAATGATAATCTTAAGATTCGGCGTTTATGCGAGAGTCTTGTACGCACACCGGTGAATGACCCCTGCATTTCCATGATAAAGGATGTCGCTGTAAGGGCCGCTAGCTCGCTCAATCCCTCTGATGAGGGTTGACCGTGTTGCGCACATAGCACAAGGGTTGGCACACACGTACACAAATATGAAATTCCCACATATGCATTGTTGCACGTTATGAGGCGCGCGCCGCGCAGTCTCGACTCCGATTGGTTGACGAGGAATCCGCGCGAAGAGCCGGCGACTAGTTGAGCGCGAGTTCTCGAACCGAGCGGTTCTACAGAGCAGGGTGTATGTTTCTTTATTTCGGAGCCGAGTATCTCGGGTGGTAAAATAACCTTTAACTTTATCATTTTCATTGTTATTCATTGTTTTTACTTGTGACAGTTTTTTACGCGGGAAGTTTTATTATCAAAGTGACTTGAGTTGACTAATTGTGTCAACTGTTTGTTGTTTATTTTTATTATTTACGTGAGCATCGAACTGATGGTATTTTATTAAACACGGATCTATTTCGATGAGGAATCAGCAAATTGGTGAGTCAGGTTTATTATTTTTTTTACCTTCTGTTATTCTACTAAGCGCAAGAAACGTTTTTGTAGGTTAGTTTTTCGAAATTTAATAAGCAAAGTTTACTAAATTTTTATCTCAGTCATTTAAATTGGTCCAAAATGTGTAAAATTCGATAAACTTTGTAGAAATTTCGTTTCTTACTATACTTCTGGTGTAGCATTTATATTTTATGGATTTTTTGTGTTTAAATATTCTCAATGTTGACGTGTACATTATTTGGTACTGACGCTACCATTTTTAATGGAAAATTCCCATGAGCTTTAAATTCTTTTCATTATGTTTCGAAAGTTTTTAATGATCAATTTAAATATCTCAAGTTTCATGTTCTTACAAATTTCGTTTTAACACTCATGAAGAATTGGAAAGTGATTTGGTGATAAAATCATAAATCGGCTTTTATTTATTACCACACAATTTTTTGGTTACGCTCAGTTTATTACTCTACATAATAAAAAAAAATTCTATTACAATAAGTTTTTTGGTTGAAAAACTATTGAAGAATTTATTAGGTCTTTAAATTTAAATACTAAAAGAGTTTTTTATTGTTACTGAAAAAATTAAGGATTTTTAATAAATAATGAAATACTTAGAAAATATAATATTTAACAATAGTTTTAAAACTTTTTATTTAGAAGCGAAAACTGAACGGAGAATGTTTTTATAAGGCCGTCCAGGTGTTGTTTACTGTCAGATTAAAAATTTTTGAATAGAGACGTCCCTTTTATCAATGCTCCATAAATGTATATATATATATATATATATGTTGACATTATTCCCTTTTAGATCCTGAGCAAAGAATATGGTGACCCAGACACAAAAGTAAACAATGAAGGGAAATGCAAATTTTATGAATATTATTGTGCCAGTATATTTACAGTCTTTAACAATTATATATAAAGTCAGTGGGGTAAATTGAATCGACATCAATTAATCCATTCAGTCCTTTTTTATTACCGTGTTCAATTTATAAAAATATCTAAATCAAATTAAAATTGTGTAACGAGTTATATTCGAAAAAGTAATAATTCAATTTAATTATAAAATATTATATCCAGATAATTTCAAATCAATTTTTTCATTCGCTCCAATTATGTTTAAAAATGAATAGGATAGTAATTGTAAAATATAATTCAGAACATGTTATACACGGGTAATAATTTAATAGTAATAATGACATTTCGCGACAAATTTCAGTTATAAATTTGATTTCATACTGAATGAGCTTCAAATGAAGAATTAAATTATAATATTCTTTGCAAGAGAATTAAATGATTTAATCTTGTTTCAAAAATACTCGAGCAGCACGCGAATTGAAAAAACTGGATTATAAGAATTTCGTTCGATGGAGTTTTTAGCTGTTTCTTTCGTTTTTCTCGACGACAGATTTTGCAAATTGAGGAAATGGCTCTCGATTGCGTTCATATCTTCGACCTACCGCATCGCGCATTGCTCATTTTAAACTCGAGAATCCGGTATTTACGCATCGAACACTATCTTGCATTTGCAATAGGATACATTGTGGAGAAAGTGTGAAATGTCTCTAATGCGAGTTAGTGGCCTAATTTACCAATTAAAAAATTTATATAAACTTAATTAAACATAAGTTCTATGTAGGTTTCAAACTTGGCATTATAGTTTCTGCTGATTGCAATCTTAAAAAGTATTAATTTTGATTTTTTTATGTTTATTAAGATAAAAACTTATAAAAGTTATGTAACGCTTATAGGGGTTTGCTAGTTTGTGTGTCAGTGTCTATTCGTTCGAGTGTGAAAAAATATCCCATGTTTTGTTACGTAAGCTACATTTCAGGCGACATTTTTAAATTAAATTTGCCATTGAAAAAAATTCTGTCTGAAAAACATCTAAAAATGGAATTTCACTTTATCGTAAAGAAAGTAAGAAGGGAGAATAAGAAAAGGAGGAGAAAAATATAGGACTATAAAAATAAAAGCCTAACTGTGCATTAGAGCATTACAGTTCATACAATAGAGTTTTCTCAAAAAAGTGTAATAGTTGTATTTCTCGAAACTTTATAAATTAAATACTCTTTTATAGGCTTCTTTCAATAGAAAACATTTATTTTCCATAAACGTGAAGACTTCTTGTGAGCAAGTCCTAGTCACTTCTAAAGAAACCGTCTCGTAGCGAAAGCTCGAGACGATTGAAGAAATCTCGAGTGCACTTCCGAAAAGGGACTGGAGCTAGCTTACTCCTTTCCCCTTCCGCGGCTGAGGCCTTTAAACCAAGATTTGCGAATGGCGAGAGTGGAAAGTTGTTGAAGAAGAAGAAGAAGAAGCAAGGCACCAGGAGAGCGTTCAACGAACTCAGGCGATGGGGTCGGACCTGGGACACACCGGTAAAATGAACGAACGCAAAAGGAAATATTCGAGTAAAAACTCTTTGCCTTGCGAGAAGAACCTGCCCGACCTCTCTTGGAGTCCAGAGAACTGAATGAGAGAGAGAGAGAGAGAGAGAGAGAGAGAGAGAGAGAGAGAGAGAGAAAAATGAAAAAAACATCATCTGTGAAGAAAGATACAGACTCCAGTCACGAATGGACCTCTCGCCACAATGCGACTTGACGTTCAAAACATAAACAGAAGTCGGTTTTTTGAGTTCTTTCATCGGTTCGCTTCAAAAGAACATCTGATGATAACATTGTTGATAAGAAGAGTCATTGTGGCGACTATATTCCTCTTTGACGTTCATGTGCCGCAATATTTACGACATTCGCAACCAACTTCAGTAGGTTTTCAAAATTAGTGCCTTCTGCATATATTTTCTAGGTAAATAAATGCTAGTTTATTTTTTAGTATTTTTTGATTCAAGTACTCACTTGATGATAAAGTAACCGAAAAAAGTGGATGAAGCAAACTTTTGCATATATTTAATCTTAGGGGAACTATAATGACACTACAGAGATCGTTCGGTTGATGGAACGAAATCCATTTGTCTCGTCTACTGGCCAGCTCTCTCGACCACCACCGGCTTAAAAGCCCTTCCATCTCTTCTTCGCCTTCGAACGGCCGCTGGACGAAAATTACTCGTAACAAGATTTATTTCATTTAAATGAGTATGTACGCATACTCTAGGCGTTCAAATAGAAACACACCGTCTCTTCAAACACACTCTTCAACGTCCCCATATATATTGACCCCCATAAATAAATTTCAACTCGAGCTGTCAAAGATGCTGCGCGATCGATTTTTAAGGGCCTTTCTTTTTATTTTGTTTTATGAGTAGCTTACACGATCACCCCATTCATAAATGACTGAATCGTAAAGTGATTGTGAGAAAGTGCTATATGGCAAAAGAAATTTATAACCTAAAGTACACAAATGAAACTCATTTATCTTTGTTAGTCGCCCGAGTCGAAATTTAGAGTCGACTCAGAGTCCGTTAAGACCTGCTTCATGGAGAACCTATAAGAACCTGAAGAGATTTTACTTACATTGTGATAGAATCGATTTAAGATCTCATAGGGTCTACATAAGACCGTTTTCGCTGTCTATTAGGCGTTAAGGAGGTCTTAATTTAAGACCTCTTTAGAGCATACTAACTACTACTGACTACAGAATTTAGAATTCGCGCATGCGCAAACAAGAAAAAAAGTACTGTTAATATTGAACAAAGCAATCCTATTTGTTTTATTAAATTTTTTGTTTTCTTGACAATTAGAATGTTGTATAAACACAACATTTTTTGGAATATTAATTGTATAACCAAACTAACTGTCAGAACACCAAAAAAGTAATCATAACAACAAAATATAGGATTATTAATTTAATATATTAATTCCTTTTCTTTAACTATATGATATGGTTAATATAGATTGCTGGTAACATTACCTGATTTTCTTATATATTTATAATTCCACATAATGATGAATTAACTGTATATAGTTGTTTTAATAAAACAATTTTTTCTTTTTTCTTGTATTTTAGCTATATTTAATAACATTTTACAAAAATAAACACAAAATTACATGAACAAATGATTCATTTATAATATAATAACATTAAACTCGGAACAAAAATATATATTTATTTTGTTATACATATGTGGACGTCCACATGAAAAGGGCCCATTTTGGCACTATTGGAGTTATCTATATGGGCGTAATCCTGGCAAAATTTGGAGAATTTTAAGTGATCTTAGAACTTTTTTGGTTGAAAATTCGCTGAGTTACGGAATTTCAAAGTTTAGAACGCCAAAAACCTCATTTCGAGAAAAACGGAATTAAAGATTGCGATACCAACTAATTGTTGTATCTCTGGTTCTTCTTGGAAGTTATTCAGATAAGAATTGTTTCCAGTTCAGGGCACCTTGAAGATAAAAAACCAACAGGTTTTACATTTTTAGACCCACCCCCTCCCCTTAATTAATTAATTAATTTAAAAACCGACAATATGGGCCCTTTTCTAAAAAGGACAGTTTTTCTATTAAAAAACCATTTTTTTACAAGATAAATGATTAGGTACAATTTTATTGTGTCATTTGAAGAAAAAGAATAGATATTAAACTTATTTAAAATTTTTTGACAGTCTCTATTATGAAAAAATTGACGCAATATTAAAATTTTCATTTCGACAATTACGAAAAAAAGATTCTAACATCAATATCTCTGGTTCTTCTGGAAAGTTATTCAGATAAGAATTGTTTACAGTCCAGGACACCTTAGAGATGAAAAATCAAGAGGTTTTAAATTTTTCTACACCTCCATTTTTAAAATACGGATTACTTTTGCAAATGACCGACAAAATGGGCCCTTTTCATTTTTCTAAAGAACCAATGAAATCAAACATTTAAAGTATCGATAAATTAATGAAAACCGCATGATTCGACTTGTCAAAACATGTAGATTGATAATAAAAAATAAATAAAAAATTAAGAATTTGCTCAAAAATTACTAAATTGCGATTATCTCGAAAACTAGAACCGACAATATGGGTCCTTTTCATGTGGA